ACTGGGGACGTGCCCGCAACCAAGGCACATGCCCTTGACCGGAATCGAACCTGGGACCCTTCAGTCCGCAGGCCGACGCTCTATCCACTGAGCCAGACCAGTTAGGGCATGTGTGTGTGGGTTCCTGACTTCACACAGGGCGGATCTCATAACATGAGTCCGGGTGACTTTTTGGAAGCTGTGGACAGCACAACAAAGGAAGCACTTAGGATCCTGCCCGGGCACGATTTGAATGTGTAAACATCTGCTCCTAAGCGCCTTTGCTTAGGGAAGATAAGACCTGGCGATTTACTATCTGCCTGTAAATGGCTGGACTGGTCTGTTCAGCTCTCTATCTCAGTTTCCCACATGCCAAGTTCTTCAAGCCTCTTTCTTAAAAAATATTTTATTAATTTTTTAGAGAGAGGAAGGGAGAATGATAAAGAGTAGGAAACATCAATGAGAGAGAAACATCAATTGGCTGCCTCCTACACACCTCCTACTGGGAATGTGCCCGCAACCAAGCTACATGGCCTTGACCAGAATCGAACCCGGGACCCTTCAGTCTGCAGGCCGATGCCCTATCCACTGAGCCAAACCGGCTAGGGCTCTCCTCGCTATTCTTACTTCCCTGCCTCAGGTCCAGCTGAGGGATGAGAAGAGGGGAGGAACTGGAGAGGCTGGTTTGAATATTTTTGAATGAATGAATGAATGGATGAATGGACTCAATGAATATTTTTGAATGAATGAATGAATGAATGAACACTGTAAGGAGGCAGTTGCTGGATTACATAGGGTTCGGGGCACCGGGATTGGAGCAGGAGGTGAAGGCCACATTCCCCTGGGAAGCTGGGGACAGCACCGCAAAAGGAGGACTTCATTACAACGTAACCCCGATATTTGGGGGCCTCGCAATCTGGCGACGGTAGTGCTGATGGGGTGAGCCAGTGACCAGCTGGCCTGGCCTGGATTTCACGGACACCTCGCCCGCCACCCTGCCCCGTTTGAGCTCTTGCTCCAGGGCTTCCTGTGTGCCACTTCCAGGAAAGGACTTGATGTTCTTCTGGCTCTGGCCAGGCGGGAGCTGATGGGATGTCCAGCTGTCCAGCTGGCCCGGTTAGAAAGCCTTTGAACTGGGCCCCATAAAAATAGATCATTCTAAGGCCTTTCTTCCACTTCCTCTCTACTCTCTAGAGTGAGTACCCGCCCAGCCTAGGTGTGAGCCTGTTCCTTGTTCTCCGAGTTGCAGGCAGCTAAAACCCTTCTGGGCCAGTAAGGCCATGCCCCTTGGTGCCATTAGCCCCTGGGGAAGAAAGAAAGAGGACAGACTCTGAAGGAAGAAGAGAAAGGTGCCTGCCCGGCTGGTATGGCTCAGTGGTTGAGCGTCTAGCCATGAACCAGAAGGTCACGGTTCGATTCCCGGTCAGGGCCTATGTTAGGGTCGCTGGAGGAGGAACACACGAGGCCAGAGGGGGGGGAAGAATTATGCGGTCACCTGGAAAACCAGATGGACTTGAGAAGGCTAAAAAGGAGTTAATTCCAGCCCTGACTGGTTTGGCTCAGTTGGATAGAGCGTCGGCCTGCGGACTGAAGGGTCTCAGGTTCGATTCTGGCCACGGGCACATGCCTGGGTTGCAGGCTTGATCCCCAGTAGGGGGCGTGCAGGAGGCAGCCGATCCATGGTTCTCTCTCATCGTGGATGTTTCTATCTCTCTCTATCCCTCTCCCTTCCTCTCTGAAATCAATAAAAATAATCTAAGGGGGGGAAAATAAAGTGAAAAGTCAATACAAAGAAAAGAAAGGGGCCTGAGAGCAGCTGGGCAGGGACATCGGACAGGTAAGGGGCTTGAGTACAGTCGGTGGGGGAGGCACTGATGTCCATCAGGATGCCGCTCAGCTGTGGTGAGGGGACTGTGTGTCCTGCTTCAGGCCATCAGGGGAGGGGAAGTCAGGGTGGGGTAGCCACCAGAGACATCAGGGAGGACAGTGGGTCATTGAAGCCCCAACCGAAGTGAGAATATGCACATAAAGGGGCCTCAGAACTCCACCCACCTTTTCGGTTTCGGTGAGAAAACACATCTGCGTTTCTGAGACTGAGAGCGTATTTATTCGCCAGCGCAAGCCTTTGGCTTGCCAATAAAAGCGGGCTGTTTGGGCCCCCGGGCAGGGATGTTTGCACACGGGTCATGTGTGCGCAGAGCAGCTGCTTTGGGGACGAGGGTGTGTGTTGGAAGGCGGTGGGTGTGAGGGCTGTGAGTGTGGGGCCGCTGGCCCATTCTGCTCAAGCTCCTGTGATGTCTGCACTGCCAAATGCTGGAGAGCAGAGGAGGAGGGGCTGGCCGGCAGCCCTTCTCTCCTCTTTACATGGATGGAGTTGCATAGTGTGGACCAATAAGCGTAAACCAGCCTCTTAGAGATAGTTTAAAAATATATATATTTTATCGATTTTTTACAGAGAGGAAGGAAGAGGGAAAGGGAGTTAGAAACATGGATGAGAGAGAAACATCCATCAGCTGCTTCCTGCACACCTCCCACTGGGGATGTGCCCGCAACCAAGGTACATGCCCTTGACTGAAATCGAACCTGGGACCCTTCAGTCCGCAGGCTGATGCTCTATCCACTGAGCCAAACCGGTTTCGGCTCTCCCCTTTACATTGATGGAATTGTATAGTGTTGCCCAATAATTGTAAATCAGCCTCTTAGTTTTTAAAAAATATATATTTTATTGATTTTTTTTTTTTTATAGAGAGGAAGGGAGAGGGAGAGAGAGTTAGAAACATGGATGAGAGAGAAACATCCATCAGCTGCTTCCTGCACACCCCCAACTGGGGATGTGCCCGCAAACCAAAGTACATGCCCTTGAACCTGGGACCTTCCAATCTGCAGACCAACGCTCTATCCACTGAGCCAAACTGGTTTCGGTGAGATAGTTTTTGTTTTTGTTTTTAATATATATTTTATTGAATTTTTTTTCAGAGAGGAAAGGAGAGGTAGAGAGAGTTAGAAACATGGATGAGAGAAAATTCGATCACCTGCCTCCTGCACACCCCCCACTGGGGATGTGCCCACAACCAAGGTACATGCCCTTGACCGGAATCGAACCCGGGACCCTTCAGTCCGCAGGCCAACGCTCTATCCACTGAGCCAAACCAGTCAGGACTCTTCAATATACTTTTATTAACTTGAGAGTGGAAGGGAGAGAGAGGGAGACAGAGATAGATACATCCAGGGTGAGAGAGAATTGTGGGTCGGCTGGGGCACCTTCCCCTTGAGGCACCAGGAATCCAACCGGGACCTCTCCGCCCTCAGGCCGGCACTCTACCCACTGAGCAACACCAGCCAGGGCCACTTGGGGAGGATGAATTCCTACAGGAGGACTTGCTAAGTCTCCTGGGCTCTGCGCTTGTCCCCTGGACAGGGATTGCCAAGCAGCTTCCTGGAGAAGCTGAGCCAATGCACACGCCCTCCACCACATGCATGCTGGGGCCTGCTGCCCGCAGCCTCCTGCGAGCAGAGCGTGCATCCTTTGCTGCTCTGCCAATCTGATGTGACACTGGTGTGCATCGCACTGGCAGTTTTCATTGGTCGGACGCATCAGGCTTCACTAGTGACGTCTAAAGTAAAGTTAAAAAAAAAAAAAACCACACAAAACAAAACACAACGAAAACACAAACAACTCCATCTGGGCTCTTTCCTTTCCAGTCTATTTATTTATTTATTTATTTATTTATTAAAAAATATATATTTTATTGCCGAAACCGGTGTGGCTCAGTGGATAGAGCGTCGGCCTGTGGACTGAAGGGTCCCAGGTTCGATTCCGGTCAAGGGCATGGACCTTGGTTGTGGGCACGTCCCCGGTGGGGGGTGTGCAGGAGGCAGCTGATCGATGTTTCTTTCTCATCGATGTTTCTAACTCTCTATCCCTCCCTCTCCCTTCCTCTCTGTAAAAAATCAATAAAATATATTAAATAAATAAAATAAAAAATAAATGCTCATTATATATATATATATATATATATATATATATATACATATATATATATATATTATTGATTTTTTTACAGAGAGGAAGGGAGAGGGATAGAGAGTTAGAAACATCCATCAGCTGCCTCCTGCACGCCCCTCACTGGGGATGTGCCTGCAACCAAGGTCCATGCCCTTGACGGGAATCGAACCCGGGACCCTTCAGCATGCAGGCCGACGCTCTATCCACTCAGTCAGGGCTGAGCTTCTGAGCAATGTATTCGATATTACTACCGTGTTTCCCCGAAAATAAGACATCCTCCGAAAATAAGACCTAGCGCAACTTTGGGAGAAAAAATTTAATGTAAGACATTGTCTTATTTTCAGGGAAACAGGGTAGGAGAGTGGGGGTGGGGATAAGGAGTGGTCTTTATATTTCTTTAAGAGGCAACATTCTGAAGGTCCTTGGAGTGACACAACGATGATGATGTGGGCACTAATACATTCATCTAGTGCTTAAAAACTTTTTAAAAAAAATATATATTATTGATTTTTTTTTTTTTACAGAGAGGAAGGGAGAGAGATAGAGTTAGAAACATCTATCAGAGAGAAACCTTGATCAGCTGCCTCTTGCACACCCCCACCCCCCCCCTCCTGGGGATGTGCCCACAACCAAGGTCCATGCCCCTGACCAGAACCGAACCCGGGACCTCCCAGCCCGCAGGCCCGCGCTCCATCCACTGAGCCACACCGGCTTCGGCTCCTGTCCGTTTAGACCAGGGCGCTAGTTTCACACCAGAGCCCCAACCCAGGCGCGGGGCAGGACCCCTGGGTCCCCACCCGCCTCCCCGCACCCCATCATCGCCGCCCCGGCTGCGGAGCCCCGCCCGGAGCCCGCCCCGGGCCGGCCTCGGGGCGGAGCTGGCGGGCCGGTGGGCGGTGCAAACCGCCTGATTTATTCCGGTCCCGGAGGCTGGAGTCCCGACCGAGCCGTCCGGCCGCTGTGTGCACGGCCCCGCTCAGCCTCCGTGCGCCCCGCCGGCCCCGTGGAGCGCGCGATGCCCGGCCCCCGCCTGCTGGCCGCGCTGTGCGGCGCGCTGCTCTGCGCCCCCGGCCTCCTGCTCCAGGGCTCCGGTGAGTGATCGCGCCGCCCCCGCCCCCCTCTGGGCTCGGAAGTTCGGCCGGGAGCCCTCCCTCCGCCCCGGCTGTTGACAAACTCGGGCGGGGAGCCTCCCCGGGGCCGCGGGGCCGCGGGATCCCCGGTGCGCCCTCCCCGGCGCGCCCTCCCCGGCGCGCGCGGCTGGCTCCTGGGAGTTTGGGTCGGGCGGGCGGTGGCCCGGGACCCTGGGTGACACCCCAGCCATCATCCCCCCGGGGAGGTGGCTTCCAACATAACAAAGGAATCCGCTGGGTGGGGGCCTCTCTTTCCCCATCTGTAGAATGAGGCCGGGCAGCGGGGAGTGTGCAGGAGGCAGCTGGTGGATGTTTCTAACTCTCTCATGGATGTTTCTAGCTCTCTATCCCTCCCCCTTCCTCTCTGCAAATAAATAAATAAATAAATAAAAATAAATAAAATCAATAAAATATGTTAAAAAATAAAATAAAAAATAAGTGCTCATAAAATATTATATATATATATATATATAGTTGATTCCCCCCACCCCCCAACCCTGTAAGTTTGCGGGACCCTGGGCATTGCTAAGTCTGCAGCCAACTTTCCTCCTGGGCAAGGAACCCCGTCCCAGGCCCTGAACACCTCCCCCCCCCCCCCCCCCCCCCGCCTCCCCCGTCCCATGCCCTGAACCCCTTCGTCCCAGGCCCTGAACCCCATCACAAGCCCCGGCCTCTGGTCCGATCATTGGAGATGTCCGCCCACTTGTGCTCACCATGGATCAGAGGGAGGGAGGGAGGGAGGGAGGGAGGGAGGGAGGGAGGGAGGGAGGGAGGGAGGGATGGGAGGGGGTGGGATGCAGTGGAAGGGCCCTGGGGGGCGGGAGTGTCCAGGAGAGGATTCCGGGCTGGGGGAGGCCTCCTGCTGCGGCCCAGCCAGACAGGCTTCCTCTTCCGACTCCTTCCTTCCTTCCTTCCTTTCTGTGGCCTTGGCCTGCTGTGGTATCTTCCCTGGTCCTCCTCCTCCTCCTCCTCCTCCTCCTCCTCCTCCTCCTCCTCCTCCTCCTCCTCCTCCTCCCCTGCCCAGCAGGGCCTCCCCCCACCAGCTGGTCTCCCTCTCCCAGGTCCTGGCAGGTCCTGGGGTGATGCCCATCCCCTTGGCAGCGGGGGTGGGGGTGGGGAGGGGCACGCCGCCCTCCCCCAGGCCTGGTGCCCACCCTCCATCCTTTCCACGACTGGCTGACGGCAGCGAGGGGGCGGGTGGACACAGCGGGGGCCTGGCCCCGCCATGCGTGACGGGACGGGCTGACCCCTGACCCCGGGCCAGCAGCAGAGCCTTTGAGGGTGGCCAGGCTGGCCTCCCACACACGGGGGGGCTGGCGCTCCCCTCCGTGACCCTTTGAGGCCGCTGGGTCTTGTCCCTTCCCGTCCCTCTCGGTCCTGGCAGCCTGGCAGCATGCCCCCTGGAGAGATGGACCCACAGGGCAGGGCCCTGACACCCCGGAGGTGGTGACTGTAGTGGTGGTGGTGGTGGTGGGGTGATCTGGCTTTTTCGGGGACGGGCCAGGTGAATCAGGCTAGGGCCCCCAGGGGAAGGGGGCCAGGCACCTTGTCTCGTTTTCCCGCTGGGCCCCCTGGCCCTGCAGCCACCTGGGTGGGCGAGGAAGAGCAGTTGGGACTCGGCTGGGACCGGGGCCCAGGCCTCGGGCTGTTCCCAAGGCCCTGTCTGTGCCCAAGCCGCCGCCGCCCGCCCGCCCGCCAGGTCAGGGGAGGGGATTAACCTGCTATTTAAAGCCGGTGACTAATAGCCCGTTGGGAGCCGCCTCAGCTCCCCAGGAGGCCCGGGCCGAGGTGGAGTTCTGAGGCTCCTTAACGGTATTCCCTTCCCTGAATTCCCTTCCCTGAAGCCCAGGCCCCGGCTCGCAGGGATTTTGGGGTTCCAGGAGGCCCCCTCCCTCCGCCCCCTAAGCCTGGCATGGCCAGACTTGCAGGGAGGAACAAATGTGTCTCATGTCTTTTTTTTTAAAAAAAAAAATATATATATGTTATTGACTTTTTGCAGAGAGGAATATAGAGAGTTAGAAACATCGATGAGAGAGAATCAATGATCAGCTGCCTCCTGCACACCCCTTCCTACTGGGGATGTGCCCACAATCAAGGTACATGCCCTTGACCAGAATTGAACCTGGGACCCTTGAGTCCACAGGCTGACACTCTATCCACTGAGCCACACCGGTTAGGCCTAAAGTTGTCAATCGTATTGTCCCTTCCAGTCTGGTCCCAGCCCACCTGGTTAGCTGTCTTCCTGGTCTCCCAGGGTACCCGGCTCTCTGTGCTTCTGCCTTTATTTATTTATTTTTAATAAATAGATTTTAAATATATATATATATATATATATATATATATATATATATAATTGATTTTTTACAGAGAGGAAGAGAGAGAGATGAGGAGTTAGAAACATCGATGAGAGAGAATCATCCATCAGCTGCCTCTTGCACACCCCCTACTGGGGATGTGTCCGCAACCACGGTCCATGCCCTTGACCGAAATCGAACCCGGGACCCTTCAGTCCCCAGGCTGATGCTCTATCCACTGAGCCATACCGGTTTCGGCAAATAGATTTTTATTGATTTCAGAGAGGAATGGAGAGAGAGAGAGAGAGAGAGAGAGAGAGAGAGAGAGAGAGAGAGAGAAAACCATCCGTGAGGACAGAGAATCATGGACTGGGTGCCTCCTGCACGCCCCCTCCTGGGGATGGAGCCCGCCAGCCGGGCCGGTCCCTGACTGGGAGTCGAACCACGACCGCCTGGTTCCCAGGTCGATGCACAACCACGGGGCCATGCCAGCCGGGCCTGCCTTCCTTTCGCACGCTCTCTCCTCATCCCCCTGCTCGGTGCACGCCCCCAGCCCGTCTCTGATGCCAGCTCACATGTCCCCGCCTCTGCAGACCCGCAGTCTCCTTGGCAGAAACCGCTGGAAAGTGTGGGCCCTTGTGTAGGCTCAGGGGGCAGCCTGTCCCCCCATTCCCTGGTCCACACCTCCTCGGGGACTCCCGAGGCCTGATTCCTGTCTCGGGGGAGCGGGGGCAGCACATACGTAGGTGGCGGCGGCCCCGGGTATTTTTGCCGCGGGGCGCGGGGCCTGAGTCGGGCTGCCGTCCAGGTGACTTCTGCGACTCCGTCGAGTGCCTGAACGGCGGGACCTGCCTGCCGGGCCAGGACGAGCTCCCCTTCCACTGCCTCTGCCCCGACGGCTTCACCGGGGCCGTCTGCAACGAGACCGAGAAAGGTACCGCCGGCTGCACCCGCCTCCCTCTCCTCACCCCGCCGCCCCGTCCCGGCTGCACCTCCCCCCCCCCCCCCCCCCCCCGTCCTGGCTGCAGGCGGAGCCGGCGGGGCGGGAGCGGCCCCCACGCCTGGACCTGTCCGCAGCCAGCATTTCCCCCCAAAACCTCGAGCCCTCGCAGAGCTGGGTCCTTCCGATCCACACACTCACACACACATACCACGCACACACACACACACACATACACACACCACCTACACGCACACACACACACACACATACACACACACACCACACACACACACACACACACACATACACACACCACATACACGCACACACCATACACAAGCACACCCACCCACCACACATACATACCACACATACACACACACACCACGCACACCCGTGCACACACACACACACACACACACACATACACCACACGCACGCACACACACACATGCACACATGCACGCACACACACACACACACGACCCTCCTTGGCCCGGGAAAACCCCTGAGCCCCTTGCAAAACTGGGTGCTTCCGACACACACACACACACACACACACACGCACGCACACACATATATACACATATATACACACACACATACACACACATACACACACACCACACACGCGCACATGCACACACATATATATACACACACATACATATATACACACATACACACATACACATACACACACGCACATGCACACACATATATACACATATACACACGCACACACGCACACACGCACGCACACCCTCCTTGGTGCCAGGCCGGCCCGGGCCCCACCAGGCTGGGTGGTGGGGGAGGGAGGGAGGGCACGGGAGAGGGAGGCGGGCGGGGCGGAGCGCAGGCAGAGGGTCCCTTGGGGCTGGGCCAGAGGCTGATGCTGTCGCTGCCCCCCCCTTCTCTTTCCTGATCACCCGCCTCCCCCCCAGGCCCATGCTTCCCGAACCCCTGCCGCAACGGCGCCGAGTGCCAGGCGCTGGGGGAGCAGGACCACCGCGGCGATGTGTTCACCCAGTACGTGTGCGAGTGCCCGCAGGGCTACTCCGGCGTCCACTGTGAGAGCCGTGAGTATCCGTCCACTCTGAGCCACTGTCCTGGCTGCTGGGCCGAGTCTGGTCTTTTTATTAATTATTATTATTTAAAAAAAATACATTTCATTGAGTTTTTACAGAGAGAAAGAGAGAGGGATAGAGTTAGAAACACCCATCACCTGCCTCCTGCACACCCCCCACTGGGGATGTGCCCGCAAGTCCACAGGCCGATGCTCTATCCACTGAATCAAACCGTTTTGTTTTTTTAAAAATATATTTTATTGATTTTTCACAGAGAGGAAGGGAGAGGGATAGAGAGCTAGAAACATCGATGAGAGAGATAAACATCGATCAGCTGCCTCTTGCACGCCTCCTACTGGGGATGTGCCCGCAACCACGGTCCATGCCCTTGACCGGAATCGAACCCGGGACCCTTGAGTCCGCAGGCCGATGCTCTATCCACTGAGCCACACCGGTTTCTGCTGGGTGGTCTTCTGTAGTCCTTTGTGTCTGTCACTGAGCATCCTGGGCAGAGGGCAGGGGGCAGGGGTGGTCCCCAGGCAGGAGAGGGGACCCTGGGAGGTTTGCTGGGACACTGGTGGGTCAGGGGGGGGTGGGTGGCAGGGGAGAGCAGGTTAAATGATGCCCTTCCCCTACAGGCATGGACCCTGGGCCCTGGGCCCTGGGCCGAGGCCAGTGTGCTTGCTCTCCGGGTGCAGGAATGTGTGGGGAGCGGGGGGTGGGGATGGGGGTCTCGCCAGGCAGACAGCACAGCCCTGAGCGGGGACAGGTGGGCCCACTAATTACCGTGCTGGGCGCCGCGGTAACCATGGGTGTGCCCAAGCCGGGATTACCCACCTGGCCTCCTGGGTTTCTGGCCTGGGGACTGCCCGGGACGGGCGGCACCTGAGCGAGGCAGGAGGCGTCCGCAGAGGCCGAGCAGCCTCCAGTCCGCAGGCCGGCGCTCTGTCCACTGAGCCACACCGGTCTCGGCCGCCTCTGTGACTTTTAAACAAATCTGAGTCTTGGCTCTGAATTCTTTCTTCTTTATCCCCCCTCTTTCTTTCTTTCACACGTTTTTAACAAAATATATTTTACTGATTTTTTTTTTTACAGAGAGCAAGGGAGAGGGATAGAGAGTTAGAAACATGGATGAGAGAGAAACATCCATCAGCTGCCTCCTGCACACCCCCCACCGGGGACGTGCCCGCAACCGAGGTACATGCCCTTGACCGGAATCGAACCTGGGACCTTTTGGTCTGCAGGCCGGCGCTCTGTCCACTGATCACACCGGTTTTGGCATGTCTGGCCTTCTTATCCGGTGTCAGGGCCTCCTCTGGGTGGATTTTTTAATTTTTAATTTTTATTTTTTATGTTTTTTATTTTTATTTTTTATTTTTTTAAATATATTTTATTGATTGTACACAGAGAGAGGAATTGAGAGGGACAGAGAGTTAGAAACATCGATGAGAGAGAATCATCGATCAGCTGCCTCCTGCACACCCACCACTGGGGATGTGCCTGCAACCAAGATACATGCCCCTGACCGGAATCGAACCCGGGACCTTTCAGTCCGCAGGCCGACGCTCTATCCACTGAGCCAAACCAGTCCTGGCTATGTTTTTTATTTTTTAAAAAATATTTTTTACAGAGAGGAAGGGAGAGGGATATAGTCAGAAACATCAATGAGAGAGAAGCACCCATCAGCTGCCTCTTGCACACCCCCCTCTGGGGATGTGCCCGCCACCAAGGTCCATGCCCTTGACCGGAATCGAACCCGGGACCCTTCAGTCCGCAGCCCGACGCTCTATCCACTGAGCCACACTGGCTTTGGCACCATCTGTCTGTCTTCTCCTCTGGTTCTCCGGGTCCCGCCTGGGCGGGCAGCCGTCTGACTGCCCCCTCCTCCCCCCGCCTGCAGGGTGCGCCATGCCGCTGGGCATGGAGTCCGGGGCCATCGCCGACCGCCAGGTCTCCGCCTCGTCCGTGCACTTGGGGTTCATGGCGCTGCAGCGCTGGGGGCCCGAGCTGGCCCGCCTGCACCGCTCCGGCATCGTCAACGCCTGGACAGCCAGCAACTACGACCGGAACCCCTGGATCCAGGTGTGGAGGGGGTGGGGGGCGGGATGGGAGGGGGGACGGTGAGAGGCGGGTGCCTGCATGTGGGGGTCCCCATGGGAGGGTTCGTTAAGGGGTCCAGGGATCAGCGGAGCGGGTTCCCCAAGGAGTTGTCTGTGAGTGGAGGGCAGGCAGCCTGGGGGGACCTGGAGGTTAGGGGTGGGGTGAGGGGGACCCCAGGCTGTGGAGGGGCTGTTTGCACGGGATGAGGTCTGGGGGGGGCCCCTCTGGGAGGTTCCCTGAGCACTGGGCTCATAGTCCTGAGAGGGTGGGGTGAGAGAGACTCCATCCAGCACTTAGCTGCTTGCCTGGTCCCTGCTCTGGGCGGGGGGAAGAGGGGAGGTAAAGGGATGTGGGAGTTTTTTTGCTTTTTTAAAATATATTTTATTGATTTAAAAAAAATATATTTTATTGATTTTTTACAGAGAGGAAGAGAGAGTTAGAAACATCGATGAGAGAGAAACATGGATCAGCTGCCTCCTGCACACCCCCTACCGGGGATGTGCCCACAACCAAGGTCCATGTCCTTGACCGGAATCGAACCCGGGATCCTTCAGTCCGCAGGCCGATGCTTTGTCCACTGAGCCAAAGTGGTTTCGGCTAGATATATTTTATTGATTTAAAAAATATGTATATTTTATTGATTGTTTTTTTACAGAGAGGAAGAGAGAGAGATAGAGAGTTAGAAACATCAATGAGAGAGAAACATTGATCAGCTGCCTCCTGCGCACCCCACACCGGGGATGTGCCGGCAACCAAGGTCCATGCCCTTGACCGGAATGGAACCTGGGACCTTCCAGCCCCCAGGCCGACGCTCTGACCACTGAGCAGCACCGGCCGGGGCGGGGCCGTGGGCGCACTAAGGGTCTGTTCTCCCCTCCCCGGGCCCAGGTGAACCTGCTGCGGAGGATGAAGGTGACGGGCGTGGTGACGCAGGGCGCCAGCCGCGCTGGCCGAGCCGAGTACGTGAAGATGTTCAAGGTGGCGTACAGCCTGGACGGGAAGAAGTTCAAGTTCATCCAGAAAGACGGGGAAGCGGGAGACCAGGTGAGGGAGGCTGCCTGGCCACCAGGAGGGGCTGGGGTCGGCTCCCCGGGGCTCCCGCCAGGAGTGGGGGCAATCTTTAAAAAAAAAATATATATATTTTATTGGGTTTTTACAGAGAGGAAGAGAGAAGGATCGAGAGCTAGAAACATCGATGAGAGAGAGTCATCGATCAGCTGCCTCCTGCACACCTCCCGCTGGGGATGTGCCCGCATGATTCTCTCTCATCGATGTTTCTAACTCTCGCTCCCTCTCTCTTCCTCTCTGTAAAAAAATCAATAAAATATTAAAAATAAAAATAAAGGGCCATGGCATTAGGAAGGTTGAGAACCTCTGCTCTGGATGGACAGATGGCCCTGTGTGGAAGACAGGGGTGCATGCCCAGGCCCCCCCCCCCCCCCCCGTGATGACCAGGAAAGGAGCCACAAGGGGAATCTTTTAAACATTTTTAAAAAATATATTTTTATTGGTTTTCCACAGAGAGGAATTGAGAGGGATAGAGAGCTAGAAACATCGATGAGAGAGAAACATCGACCAGCTGCCTCCTGCACGCCCCCCACTGGGGATGTGCCCGCAGCCAAGGTATTACATGCCCTTGACCGGAATCGAACCCGGAACCCTCCAGTCCACAGTCCGACGCTCTAGCCACTGAGCCACACCGGTTTCGGCGCACAAGGGGAATCTTGGGGGTGTTGAGTGGGGGGGAGTGGTGGCCACCGGAATGGCCAAGTCCCTGCTAAGCCCTCCTCCCCGCCCCCTCGGCCCCAGGAGGGCAGGGGCAACTCCGGAAGGGGGTCTGCCCACACTCACCCTCCCTCCGCGCCGTCTCTGCCTCCCAGGTTTTTATTGGGAACGTGGACAACAGTGGCCTGAAGGTCAACATGTTCGACGGCCCTCTCGAGCTGCAGTACGTGAGGCTGATGCCCGTGGACTGCCATCGGGGCTGCACCCTGCGCTTGGAACTCCTTGGCTGCGAGGTGAATGGTGAGTGCCGGCAGCTGGGGTCCGGCCCTGGGGCTGGCCTGTCTCCTCTCAGCCACACGGAGCCGGGCAGGGCGCCCCCCGCCCCCCTCCCCGCCCCCCCCCCCCCCCGGGGCTCACACGCAGCAAAGAGGGGTCGCCCGGCCGTCAGCAGCCCTGCCCGGGTTCTATCCTGTCTGTGCCAACCCATAGCATCCTGGTGGGTGGAGGACAGAAGAGACGCCGCTTGCGTTCTCAGAGTATGGTCACTTAATTCTTTTTTTTAAAATTTTTTTTAATATACCCTGTTTCCCCGAAAATAAGACAGTGCCTTCGATTAATGTTTGCTCCCAAAGATGCGCTCGGTCTTGTTTTCAGGGAATGTCTTATTTTTCCATGAAGAAGAATACGGTACACATTTATTGTTAAGTGAAAATAAAAGAAATTTATTACCTGTATATGGTACGGCAGTACGGTAGTTGTCCACACAAACCAGACACACTGTGAATCCTACAGGATCAAGAATTGACTCATTTATTCGATGACAATCCCGTCATCATCTTCTGGAACATCATCCTAACAATCCAATTCCTGAATTTCCTGGTGAATTTCTTGTGACTCCATTTCTTTCAGAATCAGTGGGCCAAATCTCTCATGTTTAGCCTGGGGGGGGGGGCCTTATTTTTGGGGGGATGCCTTATATTTCACTCAGAAGGAAACCTGTAAGTAGGTCTTATTTTCGGAGGATGTCTTATTTTCGGGGAAACACGGTATTTTATTGATTTTGAGAGGAAAGGAGAGGGATACAGAGCTAGAAACATCAATGACATTGAGCAGCTGCCCCCTGCCCAGCCCCACTGGGGATGTGCCTGCAACTAAGATACATGCCCTTGACCGGAATCAAATCCGGGACCTTCCAGTCCGCAGGCCGACGCTCTATCCATTGAGCTACACCGGTTCCGGCAATTGTCACTTAGTTCTGATGGGGGTGGGCTCCTTGAGCTTCTAAGCTCGTAGCTTCCGTTCTGTGTTGCAGATGTCAGCTCAGTTATGCGGGGAGTTTGTCTGATTTGTTCACGGCTGGATCCCCAGTGCCTAGAACGGTGCCTGAATGAATGAATTAATGGTACTTGATGAAGGAGTGAATGAATGAGGAAAGTGAGGCCCAGATAAATTATTAATATTAAAAAAAAAAAATATATATATATATATATATATATATATATATATATGTTGCCGAAACCGGTTTGGCTCAGTGGATAGAGCATCAGCCTGGACTGATGAGTCCCAGGTTCGATTCCGGTCAAGGGCATGTACCTTGGTTGTGGGCACATCCCCAGTGGGGGGTGTGCAGGAGGCAGCTGGTCAATGTTTCTCTCTCGTCGATGTTTCTGGCTCTCTGTCCCTCTCCCTTCCTCTTTGTAAAAAAATCAATAAAATATAAAAAAATTAAAAAAAAATATATTCTTATTTATTTCAGAGAGGAAGAGAGAGGGAGGGAGAGTTAGAAACATCAATGATGAGAGAGAAACATGGACTGGCTGCCTCACCACATGCTTACTTACTGGGGATCGAACCTGCAACCCAGGCCTGTGCCCTTGAATGGAATTGAACCCGTCAGCTTGCAGGCGAATGCTCTTAATCCACTGAGCCAAACTGGCTAGGGCCCAGATAAATTATTTATCAAGGGCATACTGCTGGCAGGCTTAAAACTTGGTCTCGATCCCTGGGCTTCTGATACTTACCCATCCAGTAATTTTACTCTCCACCCCCACTCTCCCACACCATCCCCTCGCACCCCTGCCCCGCAAAAAACTCAGGTTTGTCTGCAATTAAGAGACAAGGAAAGCTTCTAGAGTAGCTGGTGCTTCCTGCTGCCATTTCCGGAGACAGCCCCAGATAAGAAAGGGATGGATTTCCTCTGAAACAGGAAAAAACGCACCATTGGGAGGTCAGGGTGCAGAGGGTCAGGGTGCAGGGGGTCAGGCGGCCCAGCTTCCTTGTCTCAGCTCAGCTCTTTTCTCTGAGATCCAGGTAGTAGTTCCCGCCTTTTTTTGCAGCCACAATGCCACCTGCTGGCCACTGGCGGAACTGTAGGGCTTGTAAGGCCGGTTGCCTTTCTCATGCTCCCCAAGACTCACCCTTTGCGCCCCCTTTCCCCTCCGTGGCACTGCTTCCTGTTTCCCCATTTCAGATACCACCCAGTGCCATTCAGAGCTGACTTCTGTGCCTGGCTGGGTTTATTTTTAAATTTTATTTATTTATTTTTTAAAAATACATTTTATTGAATTTTCACAGAGAGGAAGGGAGAGGGATAGAGAGCTAGAAACATCGATGAGAGAGAGACATCGACCAGCTGCCTCCTGGAGTCTCCCCACTGGGGATGTGCCTGCAACCAAGGCACATGCCCCTGACCGGAATCGAACCTGGGACCTTTCACTCCATGCAAAAGATCATACAATTTTTTGCATGTCTTCTGGTTCTCTGTCTATAAATATATATGGTGACATACGTATGCATTTCCGTTCTCTGTTCTGTATTTGAGACTTTACTTGCTATTTTTTCCCTATCACTTTATATTATTATTTTAACAATTTTTAATGATTTCTTCCTCAGTCCAACTGTCCTTTCGTTCTTTTATCTTTCTCTCTCATGCATGCCATGTTCTTGGGAAGCTTGTTTAGACCAAGTTCATGACCCTGGAGGCTTCCACCACGTGAACAGGGGCTCAGGTTTTGAATAATAAGAATTATAGCCGAAACCGGTGTGGCTCAGTGGATAGAGCGTTGGCCTGCGGACTCTCTCATTGATGTTTCTGACTCTCTGTCCCTCTCCCTTCTTCTCTGTAAAAAAATCAATAAAATATATTAAAAAATAATAATAAAATAAAAGGCAGAAAGAGCTTCTGTCCAAGAGGCTGCCAGGGGCCGGTGGGGTCCACCTGGCTCTTCCGGCCTCACTGCCTCAGGCACACGCTCCCGGGAGCCTGGGGGCCCCGGATCTACCAGCCCCCCTCGTTAGCAGGATGTGATGAACCTCTGGGCATGAAGGACAGAACCATCCCCGACAAGCAGATCACAGCCTCCAGCACCTTCAGGACCTGGGGCCTGGGCTCCTTCAGCTGGCACCCCTCCTACGCGCGGCTGGACCAGCAGGGCAAGTTCAACGCCTGGACCGCCGAGAGGAACTCGGCCTCCGAGTGGCTGCAGGTGGGCCAGCTCTGGGGGTCGGGTGAGGGGTCAGGGGGGGCGCTGCCAGGTCTCTGACCTCCTTCGGCCCAGGCTTCTGCTCCCCAAGAGGGGGTTTCTGGAGTCTTGTCTTTTAAAAAATATATATATTTTATTGATTTTTTACAGAGAGGAAGGGAGAGAGAGAGAGTTAGAAACGTCGATAAGAGAGAAACGTTGACCAGCTGCCTCTTGCACACCCCCTACTGGGGATGTGCCTGCAGCCAAGGTACATGCCCTTGACCGGAATCGAACCCGGGACCTTTCAGTCCGCAGACTGACGCTCTATCTGCTGAGCCAAACCGGTTTCAGCGGTTCTTACGTTTTATGTTTATATTTTTATTGATTTCAGAGAGGAATGGAGAGAGAGAGAGAGAGAGAGAGAGAGAGAAACCTTCAGGATGAGAGAGTCATGGATCAGCTGCCTCCTGCACGCCCCACACTGGAGATGGAGCCTGCAACCCGGGCCTGTGCCCTGACCGGGTGGGAATCGACCCATGACCTCCTGGTTCCTACGTCGACACTCAGCCCCTGAGCCACGCCGGGCCGGGGCCTGTTTATGCCCATTTTACAGAAGAGGAAACTGAGGCTCCGAGGACAGCCTCATCCCGGATGACAAGCAGCTTTCCCCAAACTCCCGTTTCCTGTCTCCGGGTGTCTGCCTTCCCCCCCACTTTACCGGACAGGGTGCAAGCCAAGAAAAGGTGGTTGATTTTAATTTATTTTATTTTATTTTTTCCCCCCGTAGATTGACTTGGGCTCTCAGAAGCAAGTGACCGGCATCATCACGCAGGGGGCCCGGGACTTTGGCAGCATCCAGTACGTGGCGGCCTACAAGGTGGCCCACAGCAGCGACGGCCAGAGATGGACCGAATATAAGGACCCGGGGGCCGAGGTCCCCAGGGTGAGTGTCCACCGCCGCTGCCGCCCCTGGCCACTCCGAGGAGCCCTGAGGGGAGGCGGCCAGCCCCCCGGGGAAGGAAGGGGGGGACGGGGAGAGGGAGACCTCCCTGACACCTTCTCTGCCTCCAGATTTTCCCCGGCAACTGTGACAATAACTCCCACAAGAAGAACATGTTCGAGGTCCCCTTTGTGGCCCGTTACGTGCGCATCCTGCCCGTGTCCTGGCACAACCGGATCACCCTCCGGGTGGAGCTGCTGGGGTGCGCGTAGTAGGACCGGCGCGCGCGCAGTAGGACCGGCGGACGGTCGGACGGGACCGGAGGGCCCTGTGGGGCACTGCCCCCATCCATCCCTGGTTCTCCGGGCCTTCTGGGGTCCTGCCGCCTCCTCTTCCTCCACCCACCGCCCGCCTGATTGTAGTGCCCTGGGGGGCAGGGAGGAGGAGGAGGGGGTGTCACCGCCTCTCCCTGTCCCTCTGTCCTCCTCACACCTCACCTCCCACACGCCCGCCCCACCTCCCGCCTGCCCCTGGCGCCCAGCCCTCCCGCACCCTCCTGCTTCCTACACTTGATCTTGCCAGAAGGCCGAAGGACAGCCCATCCCATCCCAGGTTCTTAGGCGCGGTGGGAGTTGGATAGGTCTGGGATGGGCAGGGAAGAGCAAAACCGGGGTCCCCCTCTTCAGGATCTCCCCTTCCAGCCTCTGTCGCCAATAGCCTGGCCCCCTCACCCCCCCACATCCCCTGGAGCAAGACCCCGAGGTGCCAGACTGGAGATGACAGACCCCCCTGCCACTCAGGATGCTGCCATTTCTGATGCCGCCACCCCACCTAGCCCTCCGACACGCCCACCCCCCTCCCCGGAGCCCCCTCTTGACCCTGGAGCTGCAGCCTGGAAAGACAGAAGCGGGGGGGTGGGGGGGGGGTCTGTGGACTGTAGGGGCGGGGAGATGGGCGGGCCTGGGCGGCCCCTGGGTGCACAGGCAGCTTCCAAAATATATTTATGTCACTGCCTGCAGCTCTTACTGTGTGGTTCTTCCCCGTGGCGCCGGCCCCCACCGTCATCCCCTGTGTCCCCTGAGCCTCAGCATTCCCCCCCACCTGTCCTGGCAGGCTCAGGAATTGCCTGGGGCTCACCTGCCAGGTGTGTGTGTGTGTGTGTGTGTGTGTGTGTCTGTCAGTGTTTCCCAAACTTTTTTTTTTTTTTAAAGGAGTACAATTTTATTTATTTATTTTTAAATATATTGATTTTTTTTTTTAACAGAGAGGAAGGGAGAGGGATAGAGAGCCAGAAACGTCGATGAGAGAGAATCATCAATCAGCTGCTTCCTGCATACCCCCCACCGGGGATGTGCCCGCAACCAAGGTACATGCCCTTGCCGAAACCAGTGTGGCTCAGTGGTAGAGCGTCAGTCTGCGGACTGAAAGGTCCCGGGTTCGATTCCGGTCAAGGGCATGTACGTTGGTTGCGGGCACGTCTCCGGTAGGGGGTGTGCAAGAGGCAGCTGGTCGATGTTTCTTTCTCATTGACATTTCTAGCTCTTTATCTCTCTCCCTTCCTCTCTGCAAAATATCAATAAAATATATATTTAAAAAAAAATGTACATACCCTTGACCGGAATCGAACCTGGGACCTTTCAGTCTGCAGACCGACGCTCCATTCCCCTGAGCCAAACCGGTTTTGGCTGTTTCCCAAATGTTTGACATAGGCGTCCCCCTTCTATCATTGTCGTAACGCTGAGGACCCCTCGTCCTCATGACAACGTAGAATGAGGCGCAGCTAAGCACGGTGCAGTGCATATCCCCATCAAACTCCGGTGCATCGCGCACCCCCACCAGACACTTCCCGTACCCCTGGGGGTCCGCGTACCACACTTTGGGAAACACGGGTGTATGTGGAGGGGATGTGTCTGTGTGTGTATACAGATTTGGAGGGAGGAGGACGCTGCCAAGTGGGTGTAGGGCCTCCTGGCTGAGCGCACTGGCTTCTGGGAGGTGCTGGCACATGCCTTCCCTGGGCAGGGGCCGCCAGGACGTGGCCAGTGGGGGCAGCGTGGGCCAGAGCCTGGTGTGATCTGGGAAAGGGGCCGGCCACAGAGGAGGGACGGACTGGACCAGACTGGCTGGAAACCGGGCAGAGGGAGCCACCCTGGTGTTGGAGGCCGCGGGGCCCAGGAGGAATTTTCCAGAACAAAACAGGGGAGCCAGGCCGCGATCCACAGAGGGGGCAGGTCTGGCCACGAGGCTGCCAGAGGGAGGGTGGGGCTTCGCCGGGGCCTCGCCAGGGAAATTCGTCTGGAAATGGGGCCTTCCTCGGAACGGGCCTCACCTGGCTGGGCAGGGACAGAATCAGAGGCGCCTGTGGCCGAGGTCTCCAAAGGAATTGGGGGTTGTGGGGCTCCCCTCCGCTGGGGTCCCCTGGCCCACCCACTCCTTCCGGTGTCACTCTCGGATCAGGTTTGGAGCAGTCTTTTTTTTTTTTTTTTTTTTTTAATATATCTTATTGACTTTTAAAATATATATATTTTATTGATTTTTTTACAGAGAGGAAGAGAGAGGAATAGAGAGTTAGAACCATCAACGAGAGAGAATCATCGACCAGCTGCCTCCTGCACACTCCCCACTGGGTTTGTGCTCACAACCAAGGCACATGCCCCTGTCTGGAATCGAACCTGGGACCCTTCAGTCCACACGCAGGCCGACGCTCTATCCACTGAGCCAAACTGGTTTCGGCTTGATTTTTTTTTTTTACAGAGAGGAAGGGAGAGGGAGAGAGAGTTAGAAACATCGATGAGAGAGAGACATCGACCAGCTGCCTCCTGCACACCTCCTACTGGGGATGTGCCTGCAACCAAGGTACATGCCTTTGACTGGAATCGAACCTGGGACCTTTCAGTCAGCAGGCTGACGCTCTATCCACTGAGCCACACCGGTTTCGGCCAAAAAATATTTTTATTGATTTCAGGAAAGGAAGAGGGAGGGAGAGAGAGACACAAACATCAGTGATGAGAGAATTATGGACCAGCTGCCTCCTGCACGCTCGCACTGGGGATCAAGCCCGCAACTCCAGCGCATGCCCTGACCAGGAATCGAACCCTGACCTCCTGGTTTATGGGGCCGATGCTCAACTTCAGAGCCACACCAGCCGGCTGGAGCCAGTCTTTCTGGATGGTTGCTGGCCCCAGCACTCCCTCCAGGGAGCATTTCCTGGCCCCAGCCCCGCTCTGGCCTCTCCTGGGGACCAGCAGACTGGGTGCTCGCCCTTGGCCGGAATCGAACCCAGGACCCTTCCGTTCGCAGGCCGGTGCTCTATCCACTGAGCCACACCGGCTAGGGGGCTGGTGCTTGTTCGTGAGGTGATTAGGAGCCTCAGGTCTGAAGTTGGACAGCCTGGCCCTGAGGAGCGTTCAATAATGAAAATCTCGGCCTCAGCAATAATGGGGCCGACTCCATGGCCTCCGGGGGACTAGGGGAGGGAGTGTACCCATGCAAAGCGGGGCCCATCGGGGGGTGGGCCTCAGAGCCTGGGCATCCTTGTCCGAGAAGCTCACAAGAGTGTCCTGCTTGGGCCGGAACCGGTGTGGCTCAGTGGATAGAGCATCGGCCTGGGGACTGAAGGGTCCCGGGTTCGATTCCGGTCAAGGGCATGTACCTTGATTGCCGGTACATCCCCAGTGGGGGGTGTGCAGGAGGCAACTGGTGGATGTCTCTCATCGATGTTTCTAACTCTTCCTCTCTGAAAAAAAAAATCAATAAAATATATTTAAAAAGAAAAGAAAAAGAAAACATTCTCTGAAAGCTGGGGGCAGCCCTAGCCCACCTGCAGAGGGCTGGAGAGGAGGGGGCTCCCCCGGGCCCCTCTTAGTCGCACTGTTTGGGGTACACCAGAGCATCCTCATGGGGACCCCCCGCTACACATGCTCCTTCACCCCCCACACACCTTCCCCAGGACCTGACGCCTCAGCTCCGGCCTGCAGCCCCCCAGTGTGGGGTGGTCCCCAGCGGAGTCTGGGGCGCAGGCCACCTCTTCCTCCCTCCCTTTGGGTCCCCTTCCTTGGAGGGAAAGGGGGGCGTGTGTATTCCTTTAAGGGGCAGACCCGGGGTTTGTCCGCAGCCGCTTCCTTTCTGGCCACGCGAGGTCCCCCGATCCGCTGCGTCCTCGGACCCGGGGAGCCCGCGCCCCATCCCCGAGCGCGAGGGGGGCCGCCGTCGAGGAGCCGCCGGGGACAGCGCGTTCCTCCCTCGGGGCTTCGGGGCTTCCGGGCTTCCGGTCTCCGGTGACCCCTGCTGGGCTGTGGACACCGGCGCGGGTGCTCGGGGCTCTCGGGGCGCCGGGGAGGTGAGAGCGGGGGATGGCGCGTTCCTTCCTCGGGGCTTCGGAGCTTCCGGTCTCCGGGAGTCCCCGCGCCTCGGGGCGGCGGCCCGGGTGCTGGGCTGTGAGACCGGCGCGGGGTGCACGGGGTGTCCGGGAGGTGAGATCGGGACCCGAAGGGGGCAACATCAGGGCGCACCCCGGGACCTCGGGGACCGCCTCCCGGGTCCATCCCCGTCCCCATGGGGTGGGGTGGGGTGGGGCTCCCGACTCCTTCCCACCGGGTCCTGTCCAGCTCTGCAGCCGCCAGCACAGCCGGGTCAGCCTCGGGGCTGGAGACCCCGGGGGTGCGGGTGGAGACACCCCACGGGCTGGCGGGCGGGCAGGTGGGCGAGGGGACCTGCAGCTCCTGGGCAAACGCAAAGGGTGCCCGTCGGTGTCAGGCCTGTTTCCCTGGGGTTTCGGCCCTGAGACCAGAAAGGGCAGGGAGAGCGGAGGGGGGAGCCCTGGGTGGGAGATGGGTCGCTTGGGGGGTAGGGCGGAGGGGAGGTCAAGGAGGTTTGGGGTTGGTGAGCGCCCAGGAAGGAGACAGCAGGGGCCTGGGGCTCCCCCAGCTCTGTGGCCAGCCCGGTGGCCAGCGCTGACCCTCGGAGTGTCCCTGACACAAGGGGAGTTGATTGAGAGGCGCCCTGGACCCTCTCCTGCACGGGCTCCTGCACGGGCCCCCGGGGCTGGGAAAGCTGGTAGGAATCACCCCCGGCTCCCCCTTTTCCCGGGGACCGTAGGTTTCAAAGGCATTTGTAAGCCTTGTCTAAAAACAGGGGGGCACCGATGTCTAATTCCGCCCGCCGGCGGCGGGATGCTGGAGATCCGCTGGGCAATGCTGCCCCCTGCTGGTGCCTGGGGGAATCGCACGCTGGTGGTGCTCCATCTGCCTTCTAAGTCCGGGGTTCCGCTTAT